TTATAGAACATTGAACAACAGTTATACTTAAGCAAACATTTACACAATACAACTGTTTTTTTTTTTCTTTTCAACACCCACTACTCTAATCCTTAACAAAGGGCAAATCATTCTCATTACAATTCTCCTAAGAATAAACTTATAAAATATTTGTGTAAGCTGCCTTTCACTGACATGATGGTTTTTCAGGAAATATTACAATACAATTGGTATCAATGATTAAGGATTAAAATGCATGTGCAATGATGATATTGACAGACAGGTTACTTTAAAGTCAATAACAAACACATTCTAATCGTTTCATATTGCAAATAACGAACAAAAATGTAAGACAGGTAGTAAATACATGTTGAGGGTAGCATACATGCCAATAAAAACTTCACAGAATACCTATAGTATCATATTTCATTTGACAGTTTGATCCTGGCTTGTTTTTACAAGTAGCACCAGCTTAATAAAATTCATCAACATAATGCCATAAAATAGTCAAACAACAAAATTATGCTCATTATGCTGTAGGTTGTAACTCCTGCAATCAGCAAGCTGATGAAAGACTGGATGAAGGCAATACATTGGCAATCATCTTGGAGACATCTGAACCCTGGAGACATGAAAGGAACAATAATGGCCAATCACGTTTCCATTCCAGGAGTCATCCGAAACGTTCACGTATCAACTGAATTAGTTTCTTCTTTCCACGGTACATTATTTTCAGATCATCAATAAGTTTCATGAACTGCAAATGACCGTCAGGAGCAAGTCGGAATGTCTCACGTGCCTTGCCAAGGAAGTCTATAAAATCACAATAATGACGCGGGCTTATATGAGTGAGGCGGGAGTGGGCTGTGTTTATATATGCCGAGATTGTAGCATCTAAAAGCTGTTGCAACGGTGCATGGTCATATGACAATAGCTTAAAACAACGCCGTTTTCCATCTTGAAGTCGGTTAACTCCAGGAGCTGTCAAAGAACACCTGAAAGAAGACATTAAATTTATTGAAATCATTTTACTACAGTTAACTCTATTTCATCTATCTATATAATA